AGGAGGGCCCCAGAGCAAACTAATGTGTGCAGCAGCCCAATCGCTCGCTCACAACTTTGCCAGCAGCTCACAAAGTAGAATTGTTGCTCACCAGGACTCCACGGCTTAGAGGGAGCACTGCTTGTGTTATAGTATAACCAGGACAGCAGTGCTCCCTCTAAGGTGAGTCAGTGTGAGCTCGCTCGCAGTTTTTTAGCCTCCGGCTCACACCTTTCTGTCTTCGCTCAGGAAGGGAGGGCTCCAGAGCAAACTGACTTGATGCAGCAGCCAACAACCTTCATGCCAGCAGCTCACAAAGTAGAATCTTTGCTCACAGGACTCCGCAGCTTAGAGGGAGCATCGCCGCCCCCTTACCCTGAATTGCCAGAGCCTCTGCCCCCCCCCCCAACCATCTGCCCCTCTACCTGTTGGATGACGGCATTGTCAGGCTGCAGTAAGTCCGAAAGGATTTTTTCTAGCTCCTCCGCTGACATGGTGCAAAAGGAAAAGGGGGGAGGACAGAAAGGAGCCAGGTGTGGGTGGGGGAGAAAGTTGTCCCCTGCCCTGCAAGGGGGGGAGAGGGACCCTTGAACTGCAAGGGGAGGGAGGGAGGGAGGCTGTCCCAGCAAAGGCCTGACTGGCGAGGAGGAGGAGGCCCAGGCCGGCCTCCCCGGGAAAGAGCGAGGAGAAGGAGAAGCCCTCGCCGGCCAGAGCAGCTCCCAGCACAGGAGAAGGAGGCGGAGGCGGCGACTTCGCTGGCAACCGTGTCAACCAGCAGCACATGTGGAGCAGACGAGACGCCCCTTCCTGCGCTCTAAGGTGAGTCAGTGTGAGCTCGCTCGCAGTTTTTTAGCCTCCGGCTCACACCTTTCTGTCTTCGCTCAGGAAGGGAGGGCTCCAGAGCAAACTGACTTGATGCAGCAGCCAACAACCTTCATGCCAGCAGCTCACAAAGTAGAATCTTTGCTCACAGGACTCCGCAGCTTAGAGGGAGCATCGCCGCCCCCTTACCCTGAATTGCCAGAGCCTCTGCCCCCCCCCCCAACCATCTGCCCCTCTACCTGTTGGATGACGGCATTGTCAGGCTGCAGTAAGTCCGAAAGGATTTTTTCTAGCTCCTCCGCTGACATGGTGCAAAAGGAAAAGGGGGGAGGACAGAAAGGAGCCAGGTGTGGGTGGGGGAGAAAGTTGTCCCCTGCCCTGCAAGGGGGGGAGAGGGACCCTTGAACTGCAAGGGGAGGGAGGGAGGCTGTCCCAGCAAAGGCCTGACTGGCGAGGAGGAGGAGGCCCAGGCCGGCCTCCCCGGGAAAGAGCGAGGAGGAGGAGAAGGAGAAGCCCTCGCCGGCCAGAGCAGCTCCCAGCACAGGAGAAGGAGGCGGAGGCGGCGACTTCGCTGGCAACCGTGTCAACCAGCAGCACATGTGGAGCAGACGAGACGCCCCTTCCTGCGGCTAGAGGGGCCCCCGGCCGGTTTATCTCTCCGGGGCCTCGTGCGCGCCCCCTGCCGGCGCGAAGGCTCATCGCAGCGCCCGGCCGCTGACCGTTGGGGGGGCGCACGCGCGCGTGGAGTGGCGGTTGCCAACGCCGCCAGGGCTCAGCGCGCATGCCAACTCCGGGTCGGGGGATTCCTGGAGACCTAGGGGTTGGAGCCTGGGGGGGAGGTGGGGTTTGCAGCAGGGAGGGAGGGAGCTTAGCAAGGGCAGGGTCGTTCCTGGGGAGAAGAAGCAGGGCGGTGGCCGCCAGTGTTCCCTCTAAGCTGAGTTGGTGTGAGCCAGCTGACAGTTTTTTAGCCTCCAGCAGTGTTCCCCCTAAGCTGTGGAGTCTTGTGAGCAAAAATTCTACCTTGTGAGCTACTGGCATTAAAATTGTGAGCGGGCAATTTGGCTGTTGCAGAAATTAGTTTGCTCTGGAGCCCATCCTCCCTGAGCTGAGACAAAAATGTCTGAGCCAGAGGCTAAAAAATTGTGAGCTAGCTCACAGTAACTTAGTTTAGAGGGAACACTGGCCTCCAGCTCACACATTTCTGTCTTCGCTCAGGAAGGAGGGCTCCAGAGCAAACTAATTTACGCAGCAGCCAAATCGCTCGCTCAAAACTTGAATGCCAGCAGCTCACGAAGTAGAATTTTTGCTCACAAGACTCCACGGCTTAGAGGGAGCATTGGTTGGCTGGCCTAATCCAGTTTCATTGCTCGAGGGTCTGGGTTCCAGTTCAGAACAGAGACGTTTTGAGGAAGTTCCATTTCAAAGAACTTCAGTAGCGGTTATTGAATCGCTGGCAATATGGAGAGGAAGGAGAAGAGGTTGGATTTACACACACACACACCCTTCACCCCAAAGGAGTCTCAGAGCAGCTTTGAGATGCATTGGGCTAGAACAGGGGTGGCCAAACTCGCTTAACGTAAGAGCCACATAGAAGAAACGTCGGACGTTTGAGAGCTGCAAAGACCTGTTTTTACTGGGAGATATGCAAATTGGTTTTTTATTAACATTAAACGAGGCTGCCAAAAATGATAACGAGAGGGGTAAAAGCAGGTATGGATCATGATACTTATTTGCCCAGTGATATTCCTTTGCTAATGATATTTAAGGAGCTGCGGTGGCTCAAGTGGTTAAGACGCTGAACTGCAGGCTGTGGAAGGTCGGTAGTTCAGCAGTTCGAGATCGAGTGTGCCGCATGACGGAGTGAGCTCCCGTCTCTAGTTCCAGCTCCTGCCCACCTAGCAGTTCGAAAGCAAGAAATTGCAAGTAGAGAAATAGGTACCACTTTGGTGGAAAGGAACAGCGTTCCGTGCGCCTCGGTGTTTAGTCATGCCAGCCACATGACCGCGGAAACATCTTCGGACAGCGCTGGCTCTTCGGCTTGGAAACGGAGATGAGCACCGCAACCCTAGAGTCGGATTCGACTGGCTTTCGAGCAAGGGAACCTTTAATGATATTTAGCTTCCCCAGCCAAGCGGCAAAATATGTGTGTAAGAGCTGCATCCGGCTCCTGAGCCACAGTGTGGCCGCCTCTGGGCTGGAGCTTGGATCTCTGGAACAATAGACCACCAGGATTCTAGAGGTAACCAATGAGAAGGCAGTGTTATGCAAATAGAGGTAACCAATGAGAAGACAATGTGATGTAAATACCCTATCGTTGGGAGTGAGGTGTGTCTGGGTGTGGTCTTTGCAGGCTACTTAAACAGGGCGGTCGTCCTGCAGTCTTCAGTCTTGTTCCTGGAATCACTTCATAAAGTAGAGCTGTTCACTGCAACGCATCTTGAACCCAGTATTTAATACTGGTGAGGAAGGTGGGATTCTGTTGAGCCAGCCCAGCGCCCATCTGCACTGCACCACGCATCTGCTCCAGTGCATCGCGCATCACAACCGGGACCATGGCTGCTGCTCCAGGACCTTTGCTGGAATTTGACCCTTCTTTCCCGGAACTTTGGGAAACTTGGGTGGAGAAGCTCAAGTACTTTGTACTGTTCCATCGCATCGAGGGCGACGAACGGAAGAAGGCCCTCCTGTTCTGTTCCTGCGGACTCGCCACTCTGAGGCTGGCCCAGGGCCTCTTTGCGGCCACCACCCTCAAGGCGGCCACCTACGACGACCTCCTCGCAGCGCTCACCGGCCACTTCGTGCCTCAGCGCACGAAAATGGAGCGCCGCATGGACTTCTTCGGGCGCCGGCAAAAGTCCAACGAGACGGCCACCGACTTCGTGGCAGGTCTTCGCCGACTAGCCCTCCCTTGCGAGTTCTCGAGCCTAGATGACGCTCTCCTCAACCAGTTTCTGGTGGGCCTCCGACATGAGAAACTACGCCAAAAGCTCATAGACCATGAGGACCTCACGCTAGCAAAGGCGCTATGCGAAGCCACCGCCTTCGAGAAATCACGGCGAGACCGCCAGGCCTCCGCCGCACGCCAGGCCTCCATCCCCACAGCATCTGAGACATCAGATGAAGAAGAGACACGTCAGATGCGCCGCCCAGCTCACCGCTACTCGCGACCTTCTGCCGCCGCCGCCCGTCCAGCAGAGACTGCCGCTTTGACGCCTTGCGCCAGCTGCGGAGATGCCCACGAGCGCCGCTCCTGCCGTTTCCGAGACGCCACCTGCAGGGCCTGCGGCAAGACAGGCCACATCGCCCGTGCCTGCCGCTCCGGGGGAGCCCGGAGACGCCCGGCCACACACCAGGAGTCGGCGGATCTGCACATCACCGCCGTTCACCTCCATCAGGTATTGGATTTGCCCTGGGACACTCCGGGCAAGATTGAAGTGACTGTGCTAATTGAGGGGACACCCTGCAGGATGGAACTGGTTACGGGGTCCTCCATCTCCGTTATCTCGGAAGAGACTCTCCAGGGGCTCTGTCCAAAGGGGGGTCCCCGCCTTCGGCCCGCTGGGTTCACTGTCCGGGATTTTCAAAAGAACAAGGTGGCCATTAAGGGGTGGGGCAAATTCCACGTGCAATACCATCAGTTTGAGGGAATGCTGGACTTGTTCGTCGTTGAGGGCCGGCTCGCTAGCTTGCTGGGCCTGTCCTGGTTTGCACCCTTGGGGTTCAGCCTAATGGGTGTGTGACGATCTCCCTGCCGTTTTCGATGGGACCCTCGGCTGATGCACAGGGGCCCCCTGTATCGCTGCAACTCAACCCCAAGGTGCAGCCCGTCCACCTAAAGGCCCGGATGGTTCCGTTTGCGCTCAAGCCCAAAATCAAGGCGGAGCTGGACCGTGTGGTGGCTCAAGATGTTTTAGAGCCAGTTCCCCACGCCACCTGGGAGACCCCCATCGTCTGCACAACGCGTTGCAGCAATTCAACTCCGCCGGGCTGAAGGTTAAGCGGAGCTGTGCACTGTGAATGGGAAACGTTTAAGATAGTTACCAGTGCCGTTTGTTATTGTAAATGATTATGCGTGCTGTTTGGAAGACCGTATACATAAAATATTCTTGAGTATCCATAAAATATTGTTATAGTGGTTCCAGTTGCCCTCTTACCATAGTAGGATTGAATGTAACTTGAAGTCATTTAAATAAAAGGCTTTTAATAAGGTGATTCCATTGGCTATGTTTATTGTTGATGGTAATAGTGTTTCCAGGGTTTTGTGTGTGTTGTTGTTGTTTTTGTGTCTTATCTATCTGATAACTGGAAATTTCCCCACTATATTTTGAGGTTCCACCTGGAGGTTGGCAACCGTACCAGGAAATTGGGGGGGTTGAGCTTGAGGAGGGTGGGGTTTGGGGAGGGAGAGAACTCAGTGGGGTATAATGCCATAGAGTCCAACTTCCAATACAGTTGTTTTCTCCAGGGGAACTGACGTCTTTTGTCTGGGGATCGCTTGCAATTCTGGGAGAGTTCCCGGAGGTCGGCCGGCCCCCCGTTGGAAGACAAAACGAGTGCTGTCACGCCCACTGAATGAGGCACTTTGCGTCCACTTTTACCAATGTGCTTTGCAACTGGATTCTACTGTGTAAAACGGCAAGATCCACTTGCAAAAGTGAATTGAAAGGTCCACCGTTCAGCCCGTATGAAAAATGTCTTGCAATTCTGGGAGAGTTCCTGGATCGCTTGCAATTCTGGGATAGTTCCTAGAGGTTGGCCCCCATTGGAAGACAAAACTAGTGCTATTACGCCCATTGAATGAGGCACTTTGCGTCCACTTTTACCGATGTGCTTTGCAACTGGATTCTACTGTGTGGAACGGCCAGATCCACTTGCAAAAGTGAATTGAAAGGTCCACCATTCAGCCCGTATGAAAAGATATTATGAACTCTGACCTCCCAGGGAGGGGCCAAGCTATTTTACCTGCCCCCAAGCAGGTCCATCACGTCCTGGGCTGGCTGCCTGCAAGGCTTGCCTTGGAACCAGTCCAGGGAACACATGAAGCTGCCTGACACTGAACCAGACCGGCAAGGTCAGTATTGTCTGCTCAGACAGGCAGCAGCTCTCCTGGGTCTCATCTCCAGTTAAATGGACCTGGTAGGAGGTGATGTGGTTAAGAGTGCGGACTCTTATCTGGCAGAACCGGGTTTTGATTCCCCCACTCTTCCACATGCAGCTGCTGGGGTGACCTTGGGTCAGTCACAAGTTCTCTCAGCAGTTCTCGAAAGAGCTCTCTCAGCCCCGCCTACCTCACAGGGTGTCTGTTGTGGGGAGGGGAAGGGAAAGGAGATTGTAAGCCGCTCTGAGACTCCTTTGGGTAGTGGAGGGTGGGGTATAAATCCAACCTCCTCCTCTTCTCTGATGGACAAGGGAGGGTAGGAATGCTCCCTCTAAGCTGTGGAGTCTTGTGAGCAAAAATTCTACCTTGTGAGCTACCGGCATCAGAGTTGTGAGCGAGCGAATTGGCTGCTGCATAAATCAGTTTGCTCTGGAGCCATCCTTCCTGGGAATGTGTGAGCCAGAGGCTAAAAAACTGTGAGCTCGCTCACACTAACTCTGCCTAGAGAGAACACTGCTAGGATGGTATCTTTGCCTGCCAGGTAACCTTTCTTCATTGTGGTGCCTGGTGCGGAGCTCATTCCCTGATGTACCGTACCCCAAGGATTTTTCCTTGTACTAGTCTACAAGCCAGCTGTGGAATTTCCCTCTTGTGCTAATCTTTCTCGCCCTCAACCAGAAACTCAAAATGGCGTTTCTTTGGTCCGTGTGCCACAGTTTCAAGCTTCTTCCAGCCAGGGTTTTATTGCTAACCTGCAAGGTTCCGGAGCTCCAATTGGGAAGCCCTGCTTCCTTCTTCCAGTTGGGCTGCTTTAAGTGACAGCTGGATTCAAGTTCAGGAGCACCTTAGAGAAACAAGGAGATTTTTTTTGGGGGGGAGCTTTGAGTCTCAAGAGCCCATACCCTGAAAACCTTCTTGGTCTCCAAGGCGCTACAGATTCGAATCCAGCTCTTGTTCTGCAGACAGACACGACTACTCTCCTGAAACTATCTAAGTCATGAAGGCACTCTGCACATGGGCCAAAGGCACCCTGGCCTTTGCAAAGCTTCTTGTTCGAGGCCACCTGCGAAGTACTTTCCAAGGCTGCCTCTGACCCCCCTGGGGAGGTTTTCAGAGCATGATCGTCTGTCTGCCGACAGGTCTCCCCAGGACTGGGTCTCTCTCAATTTGTGCAGAGCCAGTGTGGTGTAGTGGTTAGGAGCGCGGACTCTAATCTGAGAGAACTGGGTTTGATTCCCCACTCCTCCACATGCAGCTGCTGGGGTGACCTTGGGTCAGTCACAAGTTCTTTCAAAGTATTCTCTCAAGGGTAGTTCTCTCAGAGCTCTCGACCCCGCCTACCTCACAGGTTGTCTGTTGTGAGAGGGGTAGAGGAGATTGGATTTATACCCTGCCCTTCACTACCCAAGGGAGTCTCAGAGCGACTTACAAACCCCATTCCCTTCCCCTCCCCACAACAGACACCCTGTGAGGCAGGTGGGGCTGAGAGAGCTCCGACAGAAACTGCTCTTTTTCAAGGACAGTGTCAGAAATATGGCTTGCCCAAGGTCATCCAGCAGCTGTGAGTGGAGGAGTGGGGAATCAAACCCGGTTCTCCCAGATTAGAGTCCACGCACTTAACCGCTACACCAAACTGGCTCTACACCAAACTGGGAAGGGAAGGGAAAGGAGATTGTAAACGTCTCTGAGACTCCTTTGGGTAATGAAGGGTGGGGGTATGAATCCAATCTCTTCTCTCTCAGCTTCAGCCTCCACTCTAGAATATGCAGAGGCAGTGTGGTGTAGCGGTGGATGAAGACCTTGAGGCCTGTCACAAACTCAGCCTGGCCTACCTCACAGGGTTGACGTGAGGAAACGGAGGCAGAACAATGTTCCAGAAGCTGCTTTGGGTCCCAGCTGGGGAGAAAAGGTGAGATATAAACAACTAAGTGCAAATGCAATGCATGCTACTAGCCTACCTCACAGGAATGTTGTAAGCAGGACTGGACGAATGTGTGCAACATGGTTTCGGTCACTTGGAAAGCATTATGGGAAGTCGCTGTCGTTGTCCAGGTCAGTGAGCTCTGGCTTCTCAAGACGGTTGCAGTCCGGCCACCCCGCCCTTGTTGTAAGCAGGACTGGACGAATGTGTGTAACATGGTTTCAGTCATTCAAAAAGCATTATGGGAAGTTGCTGTCGTTGTCCAGGTCAGTGAGATCTGGCTTCTAAAGACGGTTGCAGTCCGGCCACCCCGCCCTGAGCATATTTACTCAGAACGTAAGACACGCAAGAGCACAATGGAGTTATTCATTTTAAGGTGACTGCGGCCATAAAGAGAAAGGAAACGCAAAGAATGCAGCTCCGAAGTGGCACTTTCTGAGGGATGCCCGAAATACCTCTGAATGGGGGGGCAGTGCTTCAGCCAGGAAGCAGGAACAAGCCGGGGGCCGCAGGGCCCGGCAGAAGCCGCCCGCTCTCCTCTCAAACACTGCTGGGGAACACGGAAGCTTGTTTGCATCATGCACGCCAGGAGCTGGTTGGCATCCACTTGGCTAGCAACAAGTGGAGTACAGGATCCGCTTCGAGGTGTTGGTAATCACCTTCAAAATACAAGCCTGGGACCAACATTCCTAAGGGACCGCCCCTTCCCGTATACGCCTCGTAAAGCGTTACGCTCTGAGAGTCAACATCTCCTGGTGGTCCCTGGCCCAAAGGACGTCCGCCTAGCCTTGACCAGGGCCAGATCACGGCCCTGTGGAATTTGATGCAATTCCGCAGGGCCTGCAAGACGGAGCTCTTCCGCCAGGACTTTGGCTGACGCAGCGGGCATAGGCCCCCCTCCCGAGCTTGCGGTCTCCCACCCACTGGTAACCAGACATACCCAGTTGCATCAATGGGCCGGATTCTCCCTACAGGGCAAGCACGACTACTGATTTTATATGTTTTCATGTGTTTAAAATTTTATTGTATTTATTGAAATGCTGAGAGCCGCCCTGAGCCCATCTACGGGACGGGCGGGATGTACATGCAAAAAATAAATAAATAAACAAGACGGCTCATGAGGCTAGGAAGGAGCTAGGCCGGCCCATTAGGAAACGGCGGCTTCAGGACTAGACATTTTTCTCTTTAAATAAAAACAGAGGTTTTATTAATTCAAAACATTTATTAGCTGCCTTTCTGCCTTATAGGGACTCCAGGCGACTTTGTTGTTGTTCAGTCGCACAGTCGAGTCCGACTCTTCGTGACCCCATGGACCAGATCACGCCAGGCCTTCCTGTCTTCCACCGTCCTCTGAAGTTTGCTCAATTTCATGTTTGTTGCATCGATGACACTGTCTAACCATCTCATCCTTGGCCGTCCCCGTCTTCTTTGACCTTCAATCTTTCCCAGCGTCAGGGTCTTCTCCAGTGAGCTTACAGGTGGCTTACAATGTCAATAATAAAGTACAACAAAAGCCACCAGTTAAAACTGAGAAGTTAAAACTCCAGGTAGGCAGAACGAAATCTAAAGTGGTCCTTAAGTAACAGCGTCTTCAGCTGTGTTCTGAAGACCGAAAGTGCGGGGCCCCAGATGCATCTCCCTGGAGTGGGGACTGGAGGTTGTTCCGTGATCGTGGGACGGCCACCAAAAAAAGGCCCTTTCCTCCTGGGCTCGCCAAACAAGCTTCTTTGGTTGAAGGGACTTGGAGAAACTCTAACTTGGACTCTACAGAAACTTTTTTCAGGATCCGCTATAGAAGATTTTAGCGATTTAAGTGTTATTAACGTCAGTAAATATATAAAAGAGATTTGGAAACAAGGAACGAAGGTGGAAAATTTGTAACGGCTGTTTTATAAACTTGATGGAACTCCCCTTTATGTCTTTCCCCGTCCCTTGTACCCTTCTATCCTTACACCTTCCCGGTCCTATAATGTGTTAAAATCAAATAAAAATTTATATATAGATATATAAAATAGACGGGAGAGTCAAGAGGTCCTCTCCCCACAGTCTTAATTTCCTGTCAGGAAGGTCTGGGAGAAGATGGTCCTTCAGATAACCCACTTCCAAGCAATGTCCCCTGTAAGCTGTGGAGTCCTGTGAGCAAAAATCCTACTCTCTGAGCTATTGGCATTAAAGTTGTGAGCAGGTGATTTGGCTACTGCACAAATTAGTTTGCTCTGGAGCCACCCTTCCTGAGCCAAGACAAAAATGCGTGAGCCAGAGGCTAAAGAACTGTGAGCTGGCTCACTCTAACTCAGCTTAGAGGGAACACTGCTCCCAAGACATGTAGGGTGCAGGATTCGCACCTACTCCTCAATTCCTGTGACACGCAGGATTGGCCGCCACCCCACCCCCCAAAGTTAAGGGGGAGAAGAAGAAGAGATTGGATTTATACCCCGCCCTTCACTCAGAGTCTCAGAGTGGTTTACAAACTCCTTTCCCTTCCCCTCCCCACAACAGACACCCTGTGAAGTAGGTGGGGCTGAGAGAGCTCTTTTCCAGAACCGTCTTTGAGAGAACAGCTCTGACAGAACTATGGCTTGCCCAAGGTCATCCAGCAGCTGCAAGTGGAGGAGTGGGGAATCAAACCCGGTTCTCCCAGATTAGAGTCCGCGCTCTTAACCACTTAACCTCTCCTCCTCCACTACACCAAACTGGTGTACACAGACAAATACACAGAAGGAGGAGGAGGAGATTGGATTTATACCCCACCCTTCACTACCCGAAGGAGTCTCAGAGCGGCTTACAAACTCCTTTCCCTTCCCCCCTCCCCACAACAGACACCCAGGGAGGTCGGTGGGACTGAGAGAGCTGACAGAAACTGCTCTTTTTCAAGAACAGCTCTGACAGAACTGTGGCTTGCCCAAGGTCATCCAGCAGCTGCGAGTGGAGGAGTGGGGAATCAAACCTGGTCCTCCCAGATTAGAGTCCGCGCTTTTAACCACTACACAAACTGGCGGTCCTCTGGCGTCTAGAGAGATACACTTGTAGTCTGAATTTAGAATCTTTTTATTAATAAAAGTTGCATTTCAAGATCTGTAAAAAGAAACTGTTGGAACAACAAAAAACCAAAACCAAATTAACAAAAAAAAAACCAACCCAAAACAAAACCAGAGAGAGACCCAACTTCAATTCTTCCTAATATACAGAATTCCTCATATATATATTTTCATAGATAATTCTAGCCATTTTTCTCCACCCGTGTGAAAAGGGAGGAGAGGATCGCCTCTCTCCTCCCATTCTATAACAGCGCCTGGCCTCGCGAGTTAGCAGGGCGGGGACCCCCGGGACCCAGCTCCCTGCTCACTTCGCCAGGCCAATGGAGGCCAGCTAGCAAATCTACTACTGGGGGGATCCTTAGTGAAGAGGGTGGCCCCAGCTGCAACTAACTCCTCTACCTCCGACATGCACCGAGGACCCCAAGAAGACAAATCTTATCGGGACACTTCTCTCTCCCACCCCACTGATACTAGGGACTGTCTTCACCCTCTGTCGCACGGAAGGGGGTGGGTCAAAGAAAAAACTAGGGATCGTTGCCTCGAGCTGGCAAAGTCTCCCCCCAAATCTGGAATCCTTTAGAGGGAAGCTCCAAGAGACAGGGTGTTGGTCAGCTGCTGGCTTCCGTGAGGCCGTTCCATTTTCATTAATTAGGGAGGGTTTTTTTCTCCTTGGTTATGTAGTTTGGGTGGCCGACCCCAACCAATGTGTAAGGATTCAGAGATAACTCAAGGCAGAGGGGGGAGGAGAAGAAACCCTTCATAGTTGCCAATTGGTCAGTGACGGGAGCAGTCTCGATTCTGCAAAGATTTTCTGACTGGATGGAAGTCAAGCCTGGGGATACAGAGCCTGGTTTCCCCCCAGATGGCCAGATATCTTGGCCAACAGGAAGCGAGCCATGGCATACGGGTGCCTTTCCAACTGGTTTCAACCAGTGTGAGCCGAGCAATGTGCTTCTAACTCCAGGACATAAGTGTGATCTTAAATAATAGTGGTGGGGGAGCGGGGAGAGAAATGTGAAGCAGTGCCTAATTGGCTAGATTACAGGGGTCCCTGACTGGCCAGATTACAGGGCTCCCTGACTGGCTAGCTGTCCTGACCAAAGGGAGAAGAGAGCGAAACGACTTCCCTGCTTCCTGACGACAAACGGCCCACATCAGC